ATAAATAAGTAGGGAGAGTCAGGCTATTCATGGACTGGAAGACACATTATTGTGAAGATACTAAATAAATCTTCCCAATTGATCTACAGATTGAATTCAATCCCATTCAGTATTCCCACAAGCTTTCTGTGTAGAAATTGCCAAGTTGATTCCAAAATGTATATAGAAATGCAAAGGATTTAGAACAAGTAAACAACAGAGAAAGAAGAGCAAAGCTAAAGAACTTTACTACCTAATTTCAAGACTTCTGTGATGCTAAAAGAATCAATACAGCAAGGTTCTGGCATAAAGATTAACAAAGAAATCAATGGAGCACAGTAGACTGTATGGAAATAGACTTGCACACAATCAATAGATTTTCAATAAAGGTGCCAAGGCGATTCAGTGAGGAAAAGAAGAAATTTCTAACAAATTTCCTGTAACACCTGGATAAGTGTATGAAAACAGAATGAATTTCAACCCCCATCTCACACTGTACACAAAAATTAATTTGAGATGCATCACAATCCTAGATATAAGAGCTAAAACTTTGTAATTTGTAGAAGAAAACATGTAAGAATATCTTTGTCACTGGTGCAGGAAAGATTCTTTAGATGTGATACAAAAAACAATGATAATAAGAGGAAAAGAACAGATAAATTAGATGTCTATAATTTAATAATGTATGTTCACCAGACATTATTTAAGGAAATGAATAACTAAGTCACAGCCCCGGAGAAAATATTTACAGTGCATATATCTGGCAAATTGTATTGATAATATATGAAAACCTCCTACCTACTACTCAGTAATAAAAAGACAAACAACCAAATGTTTTAAAAAGACAAAATATGTGAAGACACTTCACAAAGGAAAATATATAAATGACCAATAAGCACTTTAAAAAGTTCTTGACACCATTAGTCAACATGGAAACACAAATGAAAGCCATAATAAAATACTTTCCTATACCCACCGGAATGGCCAAAATTTTTAAAATTGAGGTGAGGATATGGAATTCATGTATGTTGCCTTTAGGACTGTAAAATAATGGAGCTATTTTGAGAAAAAAATTGACAGTTCCTTGTGTAGTTAAAAATACACCCACCTGATGACCCAGCAATTCTGCTCTTAGGTTTTTACCAAGAAAAGTCAAACATACACCAACAAAAACACCCCCAGAATATTCACAAAAGTTTTATTCAAAATAGCACCAAAAACATCAAAAGGAGAATAGACAATTTGTGGAATTTTTTTATAGTAGAACACTATTCATTAATAAAGACCAAGAGAGCTTCTCTGCTTTATATGCGGCAACTGGGTACACTGCAAAGACAATGTGTGTTCAAGAGAAGCTAGATATGTGGAAAAATACACGTATCTTCTGCTCCATTTATATAAATTTTAAGAAAAGGCTACACTAATCCATGGTAAAAAAAAAAAAAGTTATTCCCCAAAATGGAGGGTTGAGATTGACTGGGAAAGGGTACAGGGGGGATATTCTCAGAATGAAGTAGTGTATCTTGATAGGGCTGTGAGTCGCACAGGTGTTTGCATTGTCAAAACTCACTGAACTATAATGCTTACTATCTGCATTTTTTAATTAAAATATCAATGATATACAGTCTTATGATGGTTGCATATAAACAACACTGTGGTTTCAACATTCACCCATATTATAAAGTCCTCACCCCCACCCCATTGCAGTCACTGTCTATCATCATCATAAGACACTATGGAGTCATTACTTGTCTTCTCCATGCTGTACCTCCTTTCCTGTGACCCCCCTACTTTATGTGTGCTAATCATAATACCTCTTAATCCCCTTCTCCCTTCCTCCCCACCCACCCTCCCCAAGCCCTTTCCCTTCGGTAACTGCTAGTCCCTTCTCAGTGTCTGTCAATCTACTGCTATTTTGTTCCTTCAGTTTTGCCTTGTTGTTATACTCCGCAAATGAGTGAAGTCACTTCGTACTTGTCTTTCTCTGCCTGGTCTATTTCACTGAGCATAATACCCTCTATCTCCATCCATGTTGTTGCACATGGTAGGATTTCTTTTCTTTTATGGCTGAATAATATTCTATTGTGTATACGTAATACATCTTCTTTAGCCATTCATATATTGACGGACACTTAGGTTGCTTCCATATCTTAGCTATTGTAAATAGTGCAGCAATAAACATAGGGATGCATATGTCTTTTCAGATTAGGGATTTTGTTTTCTTTGGGTAAATTCCTAGGAGTGGAATGATTGGGTCAAATGGTATTTCTATTTTTAGTTTTTTCAGGAACCTCCATATTGCTTTCAACAATGGTTGGACTAATTTACATTCCCACCAGCAGTGTAGGAGGGTTCCCCTTTCTCCACAACCTCGCCAGCATTTGTTGTTTCTTGTCTTTTGGATGTTGTACTCTCTGCATTTCACATTATGTGAAATATATATCCTTTTTAAAAATTAGAAGACAAAAATCATAAATAATTTCTTACAAAAATATTCAGTCAAGATCTTCTTTAAAACAGAAAGGATTGCCATGGCAAGAAGGTAGGGGATTTAATATTTTTAATTTTTGCTTTCTCTATTTTTTCGTTTGCAATTATTGGGTACCTACTTCATGTGTCTGTCACTGTTCTAGGTATTTTGAATATATCATTGAATAACATGGACAGAGATGCCTGCTTTCAAGTTGCTAAAAATCTATAGAGGGAGTAGGAAAAAGACAGAAAATCTAGAAACCCATAATCAGTAAGTAAATGAAGCAGTGTTTACAAAACTGAGAAGTGTTATAAAAGAGAGAAAGTCTTTGGTGCTGCTCTATCATGCTTCAGTTGCTTGACACCACTTCTTTGAAAAGTATAGATATGCCTGTAGGTTCTGATTGGCATTTTTGCTTTTATTAACTGATATACATCAGAAGCATTCCAGAAATAGAGTGTGTGTGTGTGTGTGTGTGTGTGTGTGTGTGTGTGTGTGCCTGTGTGTGTGTGTTTTTAACAGTGCTGGGTTATTTCATTGCTTTACTCTGCAAGCTTTTGCAATATTTAATGCCTGAATAAATATATATCAAGCTGTCACCTGGGGTGGGTGAAAAGGTTGGTTTCAAGGACATTGTGTTTAATGCTAATCGCATTTCATGTGCTACTGAGTCATAGTCACATTGAGTTATCAAGTCAAAGAACAGTCCTTTTTGTCTTCTATAAAAAAGACAGGCTGCTAAATGTTACAGAATTCAGACACCCAAGTCATTAAGATGGGGGTGGTACATAAAAGATGTAGCACTCATAATTCAAAATAGACAAGAAGAATGTGCTCTAGGAATAATTCTTCTACAACTCATAATATCTGGCACAAAACATAAATAAAGCCCTATTTTTCTCCTTCAGTGCCCTGCTGTGAAGGAGTCGCTGAGCTAACTTGTTATCTGCCAGTAACAGCAAGTTGTGGGTAGGCCTTCTGTGACACAGACAGTTTTCCTGTAGTTTTTAAGAAGTCATAGACTGAGAACACAAGAAATTGCAACAAAAAGCAATAGTACCCACCATTCAAAAGCCTTTGCAACATGATTATCCAACATTCTGAAATCTACAAGCCGCATGTTGTTTTTCTATGGCTAAAAATCCTCACAGGAATAAAGTGTTTTTAATGTTCCCTTTTCTTTGTTGTTTTTAATGACTGTATCTTGGGAAAAATCAGTCTTGACTCAAGCTCTGTGGATGTACTCACGGACCTCCAATCTTAAACCCATACTGTATTACAGGATTCTCCCATGATAAGGTGTTTACTTGCCAGCTACAGCTGGTGTTTTTTTACCCCTCTGTCTGTGCGTATATGATTCTGCTCACGTGGAAAGTCTCTTGCCTGCTGAAATGCTACCCACATTTCTAATTCCAACTCAGATTCCTTTCCTAAGTGAAGTCTCCAACCAACAAAATCAGAAGTGACCCATCCCTGCTGTCAGCTCACACAGCATGATCTGCCCCACTTATTTGTTCTACAAGTCTACCAAGTCATTTCCAGACTGTAATGTTCCCTCGTGGAGGCTCCCAGCCCAGTTAGGACCATCACAGTTGCAAGCTATATACGAAGAGCCCAGTTTAGACACAGGTCACATTTTCAAAATTGATTTGTAAATACAACTATCATGAATGGTGATTCTCCAGCCAGACCATAAAAGCTTATCTGTACAACACCTGAAGCAGAGTCTCAATAACACCCTTTGCAGACAATGCATTTTCTCAGGAAAATAGAGTATGCAATTTTAATTCTACTTCTACACTGCCATCAGTTGATCAAAAACGTGAGGTTATCCAAAAAGGCTCAAATGGTAGTTGATGATGAAATATTCACTGAGTCCCACAAACCGGTTTACGTCTTCCCAAGGAATCCATAGGAATGATGTTCACCCTGTGGTTTCCAAGAATCTGCTGAGCAGCTTCTGGCAAACTTAACAGGCACTTCAAACATTGCAAAATTTCCAACAATCCATCAAATACCTTTGTGGGGGATGGGGAGCTGGATGTTGACTGTGTAACAGCACACACACACCCTACCTCAATTTCCTAGGTATTTCTATTAAAGAGGTTGGGATTGGTTTCTTTTAAGCCATTCAACAGAGTCAGTGTGTTACTTTGTTTTAACTGAATTCATAAAAGCACAAAAGTTTAAAATAAGATAATGCCATTAGGTCTTTTTAGCATCTTTTTTCATACCACTCACCTACAAAAGCATTTATAAGCAAAGGTGTTTAAAGATAAATGGAAGGAAAAAAACCTGGCTTCCCTGCATGGGTGACTCTGACCTGAAAAATACTCAATAAAAATATGGAAATAACAAACACTTGGAAATGAAGGAGTTTCCCCAAATTGAGCTGGCTTTCTGCTTATTCCTTTTTCTTCTATTCCTTGGATGAACCTCAATTTCCCCTTAGTAATGAGACAACAAGAAGAATCATGCCAATACGTGAAAACACACTCCTTTCTCTTAAAACCCAGTTCTGTGCCAGAAATTGGAAGAGCTCCCTTACCTCTCAGCTCCCCCATATCCAGAGTTGTCCCGAGTTGTTCTAATAAAGCAACTCTTGCTGCATTCTTTTTGTGCTTCTTGCCATCGTAATGTTGTTGGGCCATCAGAGGATTATTAAACCAGGCTGCACAGAGCCCACAGTATCTGTCTGAATCTCTTCTTTGGTAGGGAGATGTGACCACGGGGGCGGTGTCCACCCTCGGAGGCTTAAGGGAGCTCAGAGGTGTTGCTGTGAATGAAAATAACCAGAGAGAACCACAAGCCAGGTTAGTCCATTATTTGAGGGCACTGGTCTACAATATATGAAGATGGAAGCGGCTCCTGTATCTATAAAGCTCAAAAATCCAGAGTTTGCTGAGAGCAGGAGACTGATCTTTGCCAGCCTTCATTTTTAAAGCTGGGATGCAACTGAGAAGTCCTAATTTATTAAGATCAGAGTTTGCATGGTATACAACTTAAATCTGGTAGTTCAGGAGACACAAAGATTTTCAAAAATAAACTCTTGGTGTAAGAGAGGGATCTATTCATCAAACTGAAGCAAAAAGTTGAAGTGAACATTGAACAATCATGGTGTGAGAGATTCTGAATAAGTGAATTCATTATTTCTGTGCTGTAAATGGAAATAATAATAAATAAAGGATTTGTCCACATGACAGAAGCAACTCTTCAGTTACGTGGATTGTACCAATTGACAAAATCATGCTAATTGTATTCAGTTACTGCTGTTTGCTGTGATGTTATTTTCAACCTACACCTACTAAAATTAATATTGAAATTTTTTTTGAAAAACCAAAAGACAAACACTGTAGAGCAGATGTTGCTTATCTAAACAGCAGAGGCCTAATGTCACTATTTTGAGATTGCATGGCCCCAGCTATTTATTCAACACATTCCATTTTGAGCTTACAGTTATTTTGGGTCCAGAAAAGGAAAAAAAACTTGAAGGAGTTTACTAACAGAGAGGAAAAAATACGTTTTTTTATTCATTAGCACATAAAAGTTGCTCTCACCCTCAGAGCAACTATGACTCATATTATTGTCCCATTTCTCAGATAATAGACTAAATTCAGAGCAGCCAAATGACTTACTGAATGTGACCTGTCTCCTTATGGCAAAGGCAGGACTCCAAGCCCAATCTTTAATTTCCAAGGCCAATAATATTCCTCTCAATATCCTAAGGACTCTTTTCAGAAGGAAAGGGATTTTTTTTCTACACTCCAGTCACTGTTGTCCTTTAGATAGGATTTAATTTAATTTTTGGGGGAAAAAATTCTGATCCAAATGTTTTACAGAGGAAAAACAACTTTAAATTTTCACATGGCCCATTAGTCCTACAGACAGAGAGCAGGAGCTTCTGTTTGCCATTTGCCTCTGTAAAGATTTCAAATGACTTTCACGTGGACCTCTCTTTAGATGAAATAACTGATAAAGAAATAAATAGTTGCTAAATGACATTTTAACTCAGAGATGTCCATGCTGGGACACTATCTTGAGAAAGGCTTTTCCTCTCGATACATAGAGAAGTTTTAGCTACCTTGGATGAAACTCAATGGTATGATCTCCTTAGTGACTCAAAGAAAATAGTTCGTTTTTTAAAAGCCTCATTGCCAGATTCAGTTACAAATCACAGTGTGAATATGAAGCTCAAATATGGGCCACATCTCCCAGTGGCCAGTGTCCCTCTGTGATGACCTAGGAATGCTAAGAAAGCCCACAGTGTCTACCTGTGAAAGGACTTCTACCCTCGTTTTTTAAAGAAACTGGATCTTACTTCCAAAGTTCTCTGAATCATTTTCAATTTCTGAGGAATTACAGCCACCTATTTTTTTTTATGGCAATGGAAAACATACCAAATATTTGCAATCTGAATGAATGTTGACTCTTGAGGAATGATTTACTTTTCTCTAAATTGGGCCATGAAACATTTTGACTCTGTTTTATCAATTGATACCTTATGCACTACATGCTGGCAAGAAGGATGCACAATAAAATATTCATCAAACAAGGTAATCTGATCTTGCACATAAGAAAGTAGTTTGATGCTATGTCTATGCTGTAGTTTAATTTCTTTAATAATTCTACTATCCTGTGTATCATCCAAAAGCTTAATTTTTCTTAAGCTTCTGCTTCCAACTATCTTCATCAATCTCAACCCAGTTTATATTTTCTATAAGGCAAACAAAGACAGTAGTGTGAGGGAAAACAGCTTTGAATTAAAGTCAGAAATCAAGGTTGAGTTGGACCCTACCACCGCTGAACTGTGTGACCTTTGGCAAATCTCTTAAGTCTCTGGTTTCCACAAGGTTGAAATTCAAGAGCATCATCTCTTTAAAACTCAGAGTGTGAGGATGGGACAGATTATAGAAGTTCTTTCACTTCTATTTCTTTGACTGGATGTCAAATAGCGAGGTTACATGAGAGACAGAGGAGCAGCCCCCAAGTTACATTGCTAAGTCTGTGGGTGTACGTGGACTCTCACACCCATACTTCTGTTGCAATACTGAATTATTCTAATAAAATGAATACAAAGGAAGGTAAAGTTTATCCTTTGGTTTAAAATCATATTTCTAACAAAACGCTTTGGTTGATAGATAATCTTTATTTTAATTTCTTGCTTTATGTTTTCATTCTAATTGCAAAAATGTTTAATTACTGACCTCCCCTCTCCTATGTATAGGTTAGAACCAAGAGCTAATTTATCAAAACCAGTGGTTTTTAGCCCTGCATGAACAGTAAATTCACCAAGAACTTCACAAATCTCTATGTCCAAGCTGTTCCCAGACCAACTACATAAGAATCTCAGGGTAGGACGCAGGATGAGCCTAAAAAGTCAGGATGGTTTTCGTGCTTCCCCTCCCCCACCTCCCTGATCCGTGTCTCCAAAGCATAGCCAATGTTGAGAACCACTGACATAAATATTATCACATTTTGTTTGAAAATGACTGTAAAGTAGTCTTCTTAAATCTTCGCATAAAAGAAAGTCACATATTATATCCAACAGCAATAGAGCAAAAAAAATTTTAGACAATGATCAAAATGTCACATCTTCATCTATGAGACAGAAAGGAATAATAATTACTTGGCACTTTTTAAAATCCCAATCAATTTCTCTATTTCACCAAGATATAACAGGTTCCCCAAAATAGAAGCTAAGATTATAAATTAATATTATAAGAGTTAAATAGCAATTCTGATACCTTGCCTAACGCAGACACTCCAATACACATTGAACTGGTGGGAGGTCGTACACCTGCCCTTGACTGGTGCCCTCCCCAGCCCGGTCTGCTGCTCTCTACCACCCTTCTCCTCACCTGTCCTAAACAGCTAAACACCTGTCCTGCGAGACGCTCCTGGATCCCGTCTGCTCTGCAAGACTCCACAACCAAAGCAAGAATTACTTCTCCCTCCTCTAAATTCATAAAGCATTTTTTTTGAGAGGGCATCTCTCGTATTTATTGATCAAATGGTTGTTAACAACAATAAAATTCTGTATAGGGGGGTCAATGCTCAATGCACAATCATTAATCCATCTCAAGCCTAGTTCTCATCAGTCTCCAATCTTCTGAAGCATAACAAACAAGTTCTTACATAGTGAACGAATTCTTACATAGTGAATAAGTTCTTACATGGTGAACGAATTCTTACATAGTGAATAAGTTCTTACATGATGAACAGTACAAGGGCATTCATCACAGAAACTTTCGGTTCCGATCACGCATTATGAACTATAAACAATCAGGTCAAATATGAATATTCGTTTGATTTTTATACTTGATTTATATGTGGATCCCACATTTCTCCCTTTAGTATTATTATTATTATTTTTATTTTTAATAAACTGCTGAAGTGGTAGGTAGATGCAAGATAAAGGTAGAAAACATAGTTTAGTGTTGTAAGGGAGCAATTGTAGATGATCAGGTGTGTGCCTGTAGACTATGTGCTAATC